TGCAGCCAACAGGAAAGACCCACGACGGCTTACCGTCAAAGGGAAGAAGAGTAAGTTTGCTAATGCAGAGGAAAGAATAAAGCACAAGCTTGAAAAGGTCTGTGAGATTTTAAAGAAAACGTCTAATTCGTTAGTAAAATCTGACTGTGATGAACTGAAGTTTCCTTCAATGTGTCTTGTATCAGGCCAAGATCAAAGAAGCATTGCTGATTGAGAAACTCAAACGATATGAAGTTGCTAAAGTGCAGGGACCTGAGGTTCAACCCCATGAGATAACCGGGGAAGAACGTTTCTACCTGAAGAAAATGGGTCAGAAGAGATCTAATTATGTACCGATTGGGAGAAGAGGAGTATTTGGTGGTGTTATTCTAAACATGCATCTGCACTGGAAAAAGCATGAAACCGTTAAGGTTATATGCAATAATAGTAAGCCAGGACAAGTGCAACAATACGCAGAGGAGCTTGCTAAACTGAGTGGTGGTGTGGCTGTTAACATTATTGGCGATGATACAATCATCTTTTATAGAGGGAAGGGTTATGTTCAACCACAAGTTATGTCTCCAATCGATACATTATCGAAGAAAAGGGTAAGTTCTTAAATTGTTTATTAGTAAATGAATGGAAGGTGTAACCTTACCTGCTTATCATTGCATCTACGGTTTTGTGCATTTAGGATTTCGAAACTTGAAACTTTGTCACTTCTGAAACAGAGTTTGCACTCAAGTAACTCATCTAAAAGTAACCAGAGGAGAAAGTCTGCTCTTGTTTGTTAGGGGTATGGTATGTTTGCTAGTTCCTAACATGGTCTTGTTTCTTTTGCAGGCATATGAAAAATCAAAGTACGAACAATCTCTTGAATCGGTGAAACACTTCATAGCAATTGCAGAGAAGGAACTTGAACTATACTACAGACATGTTTCTCTTTACGATGACTCGAGTAACAGAAATCCTCTTTCGATCTTGGATGATTCTCAATCGGATTCACCTAATCATCATTGGAATGAGCTTTATCTTAGTTGTTCAGACACC